TAAATATCCCTATCTTTCTAAAGCGCCGAGATAAGAACTTGCATCGCGAATGGAATTCATGACAAATGTGTCGATGGAAACGATTCAGAGGAAAGAGGATATGCCGTGTGTGTGTGTGTGTGTGTGTGTGTGTGTTTAAAGCGGCATGTTTTAGCTTGAAAATGACAAAAATTTCCTGGCCATGTTTCGAAGTACAATTAAATGATCCATAAATCTTTTCTCATTTATCCTTGGAATTTGTTAAAGTAGCTTTCGAATTCGTCGAGTATCATTTCATTTGCTTTTTCTTTTATTCTCTGTTGTATCTTTTTCTTTTTCGTTTATTTTCTTTTTTTTCTTTTTTTTTAAATATTAGATTAGTACGACTGCTAGTGTCATTTATTGCGAATAAGTATAAACGTACGGTGTAACGTTACTCGGAATCACAGCATCAAACATATTACCGATGAACGATCGTGGCCAACTTTATGGCCTTCCATCTTTAATGGCGACGAGTCTTGGTGATAGTAGACAGCCTGGCAGCAAAGTAGCCCTCCTCCTCCTCCTCCTCCTCCACCTCCTCCACCTTCTTTCCTCCTCTCCTTTTCCCGTCGTTCTTCTCGGAACTTCAACGTGCTTGGCATTTCGTATGGAGATCACAAACAACGACCTCTACGAATACACCTCCGCCACGTTTCGCATTCTTTTTCCACCCGTCCATCTGTCTCTCCTTGCTCGAACAAGACGTGCCATTCTCTCTCTCTTTCTCTATTTCTCTATTTCTCTCTGTCTTTCTATCTCTAAGAAGGATGCCAAGAATTTCGCCGAGTTACACTTCGCCGAGCTTCTCGAAGGGCGGATACTCTCGAATAAGTCGTCACGTTTCGTGCACCTTCTCAAACTAATCGAGTACTACGAGCTCTTCCTAAGAATTCACTAGCCAAGGTTTGGAAAATGTTTTTAATTGGAAAAAAAAAAGAAAAAAGAACAAAATAGAAGAATAAAAATAAACAGCCACGTGAATTCAATCAATCCTCGTGTAAATTATACAACCTGCCATCTGACGTTACACGTGTCACGACTATTTTGATTTAAATTAGAAACAACCCGTGCAAATATATCTTTTGTTTGAAGTTACTTTTAACGTCTGAACGTGTTAAAATAGTATTCGAGAATAGGTTGACCTCATCCGTTGGTACTTTAAATTGCAAACGCAATTGCCAACAAACGAAAGAGAGAGAGAACACGCGTCAAGGAAAAATCAAGCTGATCGATCTTCGAACGTCGTGGGTGGTCGGTCGGTCGGTCGGTCGGTCCGTGTATAAATTATTTTCTTGAACGTATTATTTTTGAATATGATCGATTCGCTTCGGGGCATCTTCATCTCTCTTCATTGTTTTTCCCCTACGAAGAGAATATTATTAATCCGATCGGTTACACCTAACGGTTAATCGTACAATCCCCACCATCGTCTACTGCCGAAATGTACGTGTACATGGGATTGAAAAAAAAGAAAAAGAAATAAATAAAAAAAAATCCAGCATCTATCGAAATAACCGCGAAAGCACTTTGAGAGATAATGTAAATTCTCCTCGTAGGCTCCTTCGAAAAACCGCCCCCTTTCGCGTGGTAACAACGAAGTGGACCACCTTGCCATTTTCTTTTGGGTGGTCCCACTAGCCGAGTCCAATGTTTAATAACAGGAGGTGTTGTCGAACATGCTCGATAATGTTTCTCGAAAAAGCCAACCAGCCAACCAGCCAGCCAGTCAGTCGCCGACATTCAGCCTTCGACCAGAATCTTATAATATTTTACTCACAGCTAGATCGTAACTCGGCCTTTTACACCTCCGAAGATTATTTCTTTGGAGTTCAAGGAAAGGATCCTGAACCTATTGCACTAAACTTTTTGCAACAAGGTTTCTTTTCCTCGAACCTCAACCGAGAGCTTGATATTTTATCATCGCTTACCACCTGTCGTAGTTGTTGAGCGAAAAGCAAACTCGCATCATGCTAATGTAAGTTTTATTGGCCACTTTGCGGTCTCGCCTCTCACAACTTGCTTTCTTCTTCTTCTTATTATTATTATTATTTTGTTTTTTTTTTTGCGTTCTTTGCCTTGAAACGAAGGCTGGTTAATTCAACTAAATCCTTTTCTAGTTAAATGAAGAAACGAATAAGGGTTATATCCATCCATTCGTATATTTATATATTTTGTTGTCTATTTCGAGTCCCGGTTTTAGAAACTTTCTCGCGTAACGCGACAGCATAAACTACTAACGTGTGTGTGCATTGGTAGTTCCTGTAATTAAAACGGAATGTTGTTTTTAATGTGTCGCTAGAAGATAATATAAGAAATTACACGGAGTATTTGCGTGTTTAACTATCTAAGAAAATCAGGTCTTTCCACGTCGTAAAACAACGATAGACACGGGTCACGCTACACTGAAAGTATTAACTAATACGATTTTGCGATGATAGTTAAACGAATAGACTCGGTTTCAGACCTATTCGTGATATATGTTATTTTTTTGTTTTGTTTGTTAGTTCTTGTTCTTTTTCTTGTTCTTTTTCTTTTCGTATTTCGCAAGAAAATTCTAAAGAGACTTTCTCGGATGATCTCTCGCTCGTGTATTTCCCCCTTTCGAGCTATCGAAATCACGGAATCTCTAGCGAGTTATAGAATAAAGATGAGACAAATCGTGGCCGCGTGATCGAGAGCAGCAAAGAGTAGTCCATTTCTAGTCGTCGTCGTCGTCGTGCTTCGCATGTTGTTAACTTTCCCTTATCGGTTCCCGATTCTTCTCCTACCATAAGCTAGAATTTCAGGAACGAGCTATAAGATAAATTGAACGACAACGAGATATGCGTTTCGCGCGAACGATTTTATTGCCTCGAGTTTTTTTTATCTCAAACGAAGAAAAGTCAATCGCATTGAAGAGGGAAATCGTTTTCTTCTTGTTCTTTAGAATGATAATCTAAAAGACCGCCGCGTTGAAAACGCGTGTGGTCTTCCATCGCTTTATACAAACATACACACACACATACAATTTAATATATTTTATTATTATTCTTATCTTATACTAGCTTTCACTTTATATTTCAATCTTTATTTCTCTACGAATCTAATAAACAGTATTTCATTTGAAAACTACGTTAGATATTTTCTAGATTGAACTAGGCAACACGTTTGAACGAAAATGATTTGAAGAAAAATTATACTTCTTGCAGAGTTTCACGACCACGCCAATTCGAAAAAAGAAAAGAAAAGAAATCACACGAGCATAAGTTTTGTTCTGGCGTCTCGAGAGGTTAGAAACTTCTTGACCCTTGACCCACTGATCGTGAAACTCGAACGTCTGTCGTTCTATTCTCACCAAAGAGAAAAATATTTCCCTTCTGGTATATCCCTGTTGTGTCTTTCGTTTAAATTTATGTCTTTTGTCTCGAATCGATAACGAGAAATATACATATATCGTGAAACTCTCGATGTAGAAGAATTTCAAACGATCTCTTTTACGTTTCTAGGAAATATTGTTTCGCTCTTTTAACCAAAAAATTATTCCTTTGTTCGTATATGACTGGTACCATAAATAAATAAACTATTTCTATGGAAATTATATATAAATAATAAATTTGATTGCTAAAGATTTCTTTCTCTCTTCGAACGTAGGCGTTCGACAACCAACGAGAACAACAACAAAAATCATATCACGAAATGAGATTCATAGGAACCGCACGATCGTTTTAAAACCTTGCCTTCTTGACCTTTTGCCGAGTCTGATTTCATCTGAATCATTAACGATAGCACAGCCACGCGTTTATGTGTGTATATCCGACTCATGAAAATTTATTGCTTCCAATCTTCAGTTTTCTTCTACGTATCCAACACAATCGATAATCTATAACGTTGCTTTAAAAAAAAACACACACATACGTATTAATATTTTCCACAAATGTAAAAAAAAAAGAAACGAAATATTCGTATATCTAAAAGAAAAAAAATATAAAATGCGAGCACAAATTTCACCAGTTACGACTTATATCTTATCGTTACTTATATCACGTTAATCTATTTTAAAACCCAATTAAACAAAACTCAATCAACATCAACGTTCTTTTTAATAATAAAGAAAAAAAGATAACGCGTTTTTATTACTGAGAATTTTAATAAACACAAGAGAAAAAAAAATGAACAATCTCGCGTAAAAAAATAATCAGGCGTGTATACGAGTTCAATGTTTTAAAATAAATTCGAAGTGTCTATCGTAAATTTGAAAGGAAAATCTTCCTTCGATTAAATGAAATCAAGAAAAAAAAAAAACAAAAAATAAAATAGAAAGGGAAAGAAGAGTACACGTTCGTACGGATTGTTTCTATTAAGTCGGCAAAACATCAAAGCTTTGCAAGCACCAGATGTTACGTATTGCGATCAAGTAGGTCCATGCCCTCTTTCATAGTAGATGCACGATCGCAAGGTACACCGTGCGAGCGAGATGCAAATTGGCTTATTAGCCTTATCATTGGTAGAAAATCTCTTCTGGCAGTAAACCGAGCTTCGGAAGAATCTGGTTGGCCACCCGTGATCGAGAAAAGATTTATTTAACGAGCCTCGAAGAAAGCAGCCCAACGATATTCTGCATATACAAATTGACAAACAAATAAAATTCAAAAGGAATATAAAAAAAAAAAAAAAGACAAAAGGAAAGTACAGCAATTACTTTAGAAATTAAACGAATAATTGAATAGTCCGCTCTCTTTCTCTCTCTCTCTCTCTCTCTCTCTCTCTCTCTAGAACTAATTACAATATCACGAGGCTTGAATTTACATTTATTCTAATTCAATCGATCGTTAGAAAGTTTCCTACAAAATCATCCGTTTCTTCCACCTTTAATTCGGAACAATCAAATACGAAGTAATCCTATTAGAAAAAAATGTTGATTATTTTTCATATTATTAAAAAAAAAAAAGAACACATAACTCTTGTCACTTTCTCTAATCAAAATATCTATTTCCCTTTAGGATTACAACGACAATGAAACAGCGGATAACCATGAGAGGACAATGAGTACGACTACTACTACTACTATGAGTACAACTACCACTAGTAGTACTACCACAACAACGACCACACCTAAACCCACGCTTACTCAGCACTTCGACTACAGAGATTCAAGAGCTTACGACAGTAGTACCGGCACTCAGTACAACGGCTACCAGGCGAAAAACGACTACCCTCCTATGTCAGCTCACAGTGTCCACAAGTGGCAGTCTCTGGGTACTCGAAAAGGCGTTAAGGAGACCAGAAGCAACATGCAGCAATATAACAAAAACGGCAAGAGTATGTCTACATTACTTTTCTTCTTTTTTTTTTATTCTTCTTCTTCTTCTTTTATAATATCAAATATTCACAGTCGAGACTAAAGTTTATTCCATGCAAAAGTTCAAATAAGTTTTTAAATGAACTTTATCGAATCATGTTTTTTTTTTAATTCAAACTATAATCCTGTCACTGTAATCTATAATTTTTTCGGTCTTTTCAGTGATTTGTCGACCAGAACTAGGTATATCTTTGACATCCAAATTTTATAGATTAAAAACACGCTAATAACTTTATACAACACGAATTTATATTGCATTATGGTTATTTTTAAGATGCAATTATTTATGACTAAATGAACAAATGTGTCACCTTTTAAAACGTACAAAAGTATTGTTAAATCTGATTTAAATATTATGAGAATTATTCGATCTTAAAGTAAAATCATCCATCTATTTCTCGACTTACTATATTTTTCAGATTAAATGATTCATTTGAATTCGATATGATATACTAGATTTATAAGATAAGTCTTATCGATGAAACAAAATAACATAAATTGAAAGAAAATGCAATGTCATCCTGTATAATCGAAAATAGAAGAATTCACGATACACCTTTCCCTAGAATATGAACTAGTATTAACGAGAAAATTAATTTCCTTTAATTATTATCATGTAATGAAAATAAAAGAGAGAAAGAGAGAGAGAAAGAGAGAAAGAATGAAAGAGAAAGAGAGTACGAAAAACGTGATACGATAGCGCAATCACGTCCGAGGCGTTCCGTAATCGATTTATGTAGATTACAGTAACACAGCATCTTCCCCAATTAACTTTAAGACCCTACTCGAAGGTCCGTTGTTAATCGATATTCAAAGACAACGTAGGTGGCCCTTCTCGATCAAACGTTTCACGTTAATTTTTTCACGTGTTTAGACTGTAAGTGATTATTAATATCATATTGAAAATTCTCTCCGAGAAAAAATACACTTGCATTGAATATAAAAATAAATTTCTCTCTGGATAATTATTATTCCAAAGGAATATCAATCGTCGACAGGGATTTGACAATGGACATATTATTAACATTACAATATTCTACATAAGGGGGAATGAAAAAGAAAAAAAAAGAAATAAAGTAATACTAGCTACCTACGAGAGAGAGCCTGTTTTGTTAGATACTCATCTCTCATTTATTAAAATGTCGACACACGTGTATTCAGAAAAGCTCGAAACTTGACAAGCGTGTTCTCGCGAACGCCTCTATTTATTCAGGGACGTTGTACCATGCTCAACGTGATTACGTGATCGGTCAGGATATCTTCGTGATCTCGAATGATTTCAAAACATGCTTACTAACTATCTTCGAGATTGTCACTTTAAACTGCAACAATGTTTCATACTGTTTAAATTGAAATTCTATACGCGAGATAAATTCTAATGAAAATTATTAAAATAAATATTTTTTATTTCGATTTGTGTGTGTGTGTGTGTGTGTTGTGTGTAAAATAATTCCAATAGAAATTTCTAATAAAATGAAATATTTACTATATAAAGAAAGAGAGAAGAAAAAAGAGTAAATGAAGGAAGAAGATTCGAACGTTAAGATGCAAATTGATTGCACGGTTGCAGCAATTCTCAACACCTTTTTCACTTTCTTTTCCAATGTGGTATCCCCTGACACGAAAGGCGTTATACCTGCATACCTTGCAACGTTTACGAACGAACGACGAAAGTTAGTATAAGCGCACGTGCGAGATTCAAACTTCGTTTTCGTAGCATCGAACGTTTAAACAAGACTTTTTATTTCTTCGATAGAAAGATAGGTCGAGTTTTTGTTGGATAAAAACAAGAATAACATTCGTTTATTTGTTCCTACGTTCACGACTTGCTCATTTTATTCTCGTGATTTTACGTTTTATTTCCGTCATTGGGAAATTTCAATGTAACAAAACAAAAAAATCAAATCAAATTATAATGAAGCTTAGTAAGAGAGTGTAGTCTGACATATTTCTTTCTTGTTTTTTTTTTTGAATCTTGATATTTCAATCTAGATCACTAATATTGACATAAGTAGTAGGAAACTTAGAGACAAAGTGAAAAAAAAAAAACAAACCATAAAAGAAGACACGCGACCGATTCGAAAGAATAACAGGTGTGATCGAATCTAAAACTCTTTTCACTTGGCATAATAAATTTAGGAATACGTTTGAATATACTATACGGGATGTAAGAAGCGAGAGAGAACGATTCTTCAGAATTCCTGACGGTCGTGCCTCTATTGTGAACGCGCTTAGATAGAATCTCGGTGTCAGTGCGAGCCGTGCCGAGTGGAAGCAACGCCTACGCTCGAAATTAGCATAACCGGAGATCGGCGGTGAAGATTAAAAGACTTGGAAAAAATATATATATATATATATAGATGAACGTATATATATATATCGAAGAGTAGAATCATTTCCAAAACTCTTATGAAAATCATGTCGTTTCTCCTATCAAAAAAATACTTTTCTCTTTCACTGTAACATTTTCCGATAAGAAAAAGAAAAACCAACAATCGTGTTCTAAGAATAAAAAAGAATAAATTATTTTATTTATTTTTTTTTTAAAAGGTGAAGAACATTAGCATATTACTTTAATTACCGTTTCATTTGTACTATTTGAACATAATTTCCCTTTCGTGCATATAATAAACGTATAATTACTTGTAAAATCGATTGTATAGATAATTTTCATTGGAGTATTATACACCAGTCACGAAAGATATTGGAATTTTCTACTATACGTTAGAACAGATATCGAGTATATTTCGACATGGTTCTAGCGTGTCCCTATGCTTTATATTTTTTCTGAAAGAAAAAGAAAAAGGAAAGAAAAGAAGGGGGAAAATAAAAACAAAGATCTGGAGAAACTCAAGAGACTCGTAAAATATTTTAGAAACGAGTCCGATTCGATTTTGCTTCGCTCTCGAGAAATATCATCATCTTCCGTTTTCTCTTTCTCTTTCTCTTTCTCTCTCTCTCTCTCTCTCTCTATCTCTCTCATTCTCCGACATTACGTTACGGCCAATAAACTAATCCGCGAGTGTAATGCCGACTGACAAACGGCGATTTAATGCCAGACTTGTGCGAACGTAAAAGAGTTATGCGTGGAACGCGACTAGCAAATGCAAGAAGATCGCTCGTAATAATAATTTTCGATTAGAAACGATGTGATTATTTTGCCCTTCTCGTAAGTCTCCAATATTCATAAAACGGCACATTTATTTCGTCTTTATCTTCGCAGACTTATTCTCGCGAACTTGGCCCGATTAACCCTAATCGTGAATCTGCAATGTTATGCGAGTTAACTTCGATATTGCTAATAAAGACGTTTCAGTCGAGTATTATTTTTTTCATGAATATAACTTTCAAATATGTACACATATATATATATATATATATATATATTTGTGAAAACACGAGAATTTGGATTTGATGTTACAACCTATTCGTTCATTTTATCCGTTAGCTATTTACGCGTAATTACCCGTGTTAGTGTCAGAGGATGTAGAAGAAATCTTAAAGGGAATTTTTTTCAATTCAATCTAGGCACGAAGGAACATGACTCATGATTACTTCATCTCTGGGAACGGGAGTTTGATGTAATCGTTGCCCTTTGTCGCGTTGAATTAATTCATCCTGTAACGTTCTCTGACGTTCCTTCGCGTATATACAACAATGTGTTCATGTATGTAATAAATACATATAAGTACCATTGAACCATCCAAGTTGCATCCTGGCTAATAACAAAGTAAACGACGCCCTTTGATCTTATCTTCTATCTCAGAAAGGAAACTATCGTGCAAACTCGAGCCTACGTAATTTTCCCCTCTCCATCGTACAATTTTAAACGACACGACTATCATCGAACAGACATGATTTTCACGATCTACGAGGACATTTCTTCCGCTATTAAGACGAATCGCACGATACCAAACTCTCTGACGTAGGAATAATTATCAACAGTATGTGGAATGCGTAGAAAGCGATTAGGAAGCATTTATCTTTCCCTTGAATCAATAGAAAGCTTTCGTGACCGATATCGTTCGATCTTAGGAATATTGCAACAAATAGTCGATGCGTTTGACGATAAACCCTCTTCACCCCGTTCCCCCTTTTGACGATGAACACGTAGTTTCTAAACACACGAGTGCTAACTAATAGACACTGACAAATTGATATATTATTGATCTTATACGGTATCTTATTTCTATTAAAATAAAAAAAAAACAAGATTTATTTTGATTCGAATTCGATAAAAATAATCAATATTCCTTTTTGATTTATTTTTCAGCTGCACAAATCGAAGATGCTCTACAATACGCTAAAAAAGTGTCGAAAGAAGGTAACTGTCAGTGGCCACGTCCAAGAGTTATTCCGGTTCGCGATGTCTACCCGAGTCCATCGACCACCTACATTCCACACTGCGCCATCTTGCACAGGTGCTCGGACGATACCGGATGTTGCAGATCGGAAGCACTCACCTGTGTGCCTAAGCACTCCCATCGCGTTGAACTATCCTTTTACGTGAGTCCATTGCATTATCTTATCTCATATCGTGAGCTCCTCTTTTTTCTTTTTTTTTTAATCCTACAAGCTATTACTATTATTATTATTAATATTCAATGCTCGAATCAATTTGTTTCTTTTTGTTTTCTCGATTGATGCATAAGAAAAGAAAAATAAAACAAAAAAAAACTAATGATATCTCGCTTCCCGTATTGAAAATTCAAATTGTATTGAATTAATAATAAGACCGCGAGAGAAAGGTGATCATCCCAAGTAACGTGATTATTAATTTACCGTATAAATCATTCGTATAACGCGTTATTAAAGTAAATTAATAACATACCGATGTAGAGCACAGCATACCGATTAAACGGTAATCGTAGAGCTACTACTACCATAGTTGCGAAGGCTTCTTCATTATGCCATAGATAAATTGCTAAGAGAAAAGATCCTTATACGATGTATATATCTCTACTTATGTATATCGTATTGAGAAACGATCATCAATTGGCCCGAAGCTAAATTGAAGATCGAAGAACTCTATCCATCGTAGGAGAAAGTATCGTAGATCAAACAAAATGCATTGTGGAGAGAAAATTTATTGGTTAATGTAAGTAAGATCAAGGAAGAAGCTGAGTTGTAAGTCATACCCGATTTACAATATAATTCTCGTTTATCATCTTTTAGTTGAAGTCATTTGTGTGTATATACTTCTTTTATAATACGTAAAATGAAGTATTTCTTTTTTTTTTTTTTAATTCTTTCATCATTTTAATGTTAATTCATTAGACAAATTTCAAATCTTTCCTAAATCCAAAATAATTTGACATTAAACGTGTTGGTTTTATTTAATCGTGATGCAAATTAATTTTGTCCAACATTTTTCTTTTTATTTTTTTTTCATAATACGCAACTTCTTTTAATGGTCCATTGTGTAATCACCGATAGCGTAATTCGATTCATTGATAAGAATCTTTATCCGTGTATCGTTTAATCATTGATTAAGTAAGCAATTATTTTCCTGAGATAAATTAATAAACGATTCTTGGTAGCAAACCCGATACTTCGTGTCATTGAATTATCAGACGATTACAAATGCTTAGATTAAATTCCATCTCATCCTGTTTAATAATCTTAAGATTGTCTATATGATTTAACTTAATATTTGTATGTGTATCATTAGGGTTAGACTATACATCTCTGATAAACATAATCTCTTCTTTCTCCTATAACACACGTCGCATAATAAAACATAAATAAATGAATATTTAAATCGTGTTTTAATAATAACAAATTAGAGCTACCATCTTCATGAAGATTTAGAAAATTAAAAAAAAAAAGAAAAATATTTAAATTATTATAAAAGAGATTTTGTGTTGAAAAACTCTATTATTATCCAATCTCCATTGCAGCACAATTAAAATAACAGTACTACGAAATTATTACCAAGATGGTTGTTAAAAATATGAGGAAATAAATGTTCTCCTTTTCCAAAGATCGATATATCTGTTGGTCACGATCTATATGGTGATTACGCGATTTAACAGAGATCACGGCCCGAGAAAATGAATCGGTAGTGATCGTGCTAATCATCGCAGCTTGGAACGCGTGTAAAATCGAAAGTAAGAGAATGATCGAACGGGAGATTTCAACGCGTGACGAACCAACATCGTACGATGAACTATTATATACGCTACTACTAACTCTCCCTTTTCAACTATTAAAATACTATATTCTTGCTACTCTTTCCTATTTTCCAACCAATTAATAAATTAAATGAACAACTCAATTCGATGAATTAATTATAATCCTTTTTATTCGTAGATATAATTTTATCGATAAAATAATCATTAGAAAGGTATGTTGCAATTTGTAATTAAACGGGTATCAAAGAATTCTCGTTGAAAATGAAATTATTATGAATCGTGTGTGAAAAATGTGTTTTATAGGAAAAAAAAGAAAAAAAATCATTATCAAACTAACCGGTCCTTGGTTATCTACGATAAAATTCATTGATACATTCAATTATCTAATCGATTTTATAAATCAAACATTGATGTATCAGACATGAAAAGATAACTCTCGTGGTTTTACACTCGACATTGTTGACAATTGAAAGAAAGTTCGACGATAAAATATCAATAAATGATACTTTTAAGAATGAATTCGTTAGATAGGAGTTAACTGATGTCTATTTTTAGTTGGAACGAAGGTACACTTTTAAATCGCTAATTAATCCTGTTTCCGGACTTGAAATTTTGAAGCAATGGATGGTCAAAATTCAAATTAGAAAACTAATCTGTTTCTAAAAAAATAAAAACTGCTGAAAAATCGTAGAAAGATTCTCGTAAAATGTTTGAATTTAAGCGAACGCGTAATGATCGTTAATCTTCTTGGTTATTACGGCGATTTAAATTCTTGGCGTATTGCTAAATTTTGTTGATTAAAAGTTCTTCATTAGCATACGAATATTAGCATAGGAGAAAGATCGAAGAATGAAGATGAAAAATTGTAATCGTTTGTCATTTCCATTCGAAAATATGGGAAAGACTTGTTGTGTTGTAGTTTGTACAAAAAAACGATATATGTTATAATTTTCCAACGAAATTGCATCGTTAAATTTTCACCGGATTATCGTATAAATATTATCATTCGACATAATTCTAATAATTATAAAAACATGTACTAGGTAAAATATAAACGAGGGATCTCTTTTAAAAATATAATATCGTGGTTGCTATTATAAAGATATTTCCCGTTTAGCGAAGAAAATAAGGGGAACAAAACTCGTCGCGTTATAAATCGCAATGAGAACATGCCTAATTGCCGATAGGGTGGTCTTAATAATATCGCGAGTATAATTTGCATTTTATTGCAATCTCCGTACGCAGTAATAATAATATTAGCATAAGTTCGTTGCTCGAGTATTTTCGAATGCAAGGAACAAATATTCGTAAAGAAGAAAAAACAGAAAAAGGAAAATAATTTTATCGAGTAATAAATTCGAACAAAAAGAGTAAAAAAAATTAAAAAAAAAAAAAAAAAAACCAATTACAATTTTTACCAAGAATGCAAATCAATGAACAAATTTTTGGGTTATATCTTTTTAACGTTAGAAGTTACAAAGTAACAAGTCTATCGGACAGTCTTTGCCGATTGACGTCCAATAGTAGACGTCTGCAACAAATATAAATAAGTTCGCACACGAATAAAATACACCAGGGCATCCAAGCTTTTTTTTCCTTTTTTTCTTTTTTTTTTGTCGATACTTGTTGCTCGAGATACGATCGGAGTAACGTCGTAAATGTTAAACTCGGTAGTAGTTTAATGCTCTTCCTTGTAAACCACCAGCGAGCCATTCGCTTTCAAAGATACGTGCGCGGGAGTTTTTAAACGTCTCCCTCGAGCATGCATGCACGCACGCACGCACGCATACATGCACTCACGCACGCTCATCAATCGACACTTTCAAAAGTTCGATTCATCGGGGTTGCTTCGATGTAACAACCTTTGCTACAAAACATGCTGTTTGTTCTTCGCGTTTAAGAAGACGTCGTTTTTGTTGGCACTTTAAGTTCGCCAATGAAATAAAAAAAAAAAAACGACGATATTATAAACAAGAAAAAAAGAAAGATAAAATGAGATAAGGAGAAGAAGAAGAAGAAGAAGAAGAAGAAGAAGAGTTTATGGTAGGGGCTGTCAGGAATTTAACGTTCGACGTATGCTATCGTAAAGTATCTTTCACACCGGATGGCTGTCCCGAGTCTTTCGACGGTATGGTGGTGACTCACAGTTGAAATCAGTCACATGGTATCACTTAAATATATACGAAACACAGTACCAATGTTATCATCTTTAAATCATTCTTATATGTTTCCCCCTGTTTTCCTTCTTTCTTTCTTTCTTTCTTTCTTTCTTAACTCTTATGTTAAGTTTTGGTAAATATTTTTTATACTTATAGTAAGCGGATTTTAATGATTTTTATATTAAATTAAAGTACACTCTTTTTTCTACACGTAGAATACTTTGTAGAGTTATGAAAATCAAATGTAAAGTGCAGAAAATGTCAGAGAATGCAATGCTGTAAATTGTACATCTTTGCAATTTCTTTGAAAAGTTTTGATAAATATTTTTTGTACTAATAGTAAATGGATTTTAATGATTTTTATATTAAATTAAAGTACACTCTTTTGTCTACGCGTAGAATACCATATCGAGTTATAAATCAATCTGAAAATGTTCATAAAATGGCAAAGAATGCGATGCTGCAAAATTTTTCCTACTTTGCCATTTCTTTGAAAAGTTTCGGCAAATATTTTTTATACTAAAAGTGAATAGATTTTAATGAAACTTATATTAAATTAAAGTACAGTAAAGTATATATATATACATGTATATATGCTGGTGCAGACAGATACGTAATGCAGCGTGTGAAAATAAATGGGATGTTGGTAGAAAAAGCAAATGGTATTGAAAGTATTAGAGGTTGTAGGTTGTCGAGTGAACGTTTATTCCGCAATGCTCGGAAAGGTATCATAAATGTTTTACAATAGGAAAAAAATGTTTTAAAGACTTTTCATCGGGATGAAATCAGGTGGTAGTAAAGGAAAACAACATTTGAAATTCTTCCTTACCGTAGAAAGGCATTAATTACATGCAAAGCGGAAGGCGTGTACTTTCCATGCGATATTCTTTATCTCGACAAAGATCGCACGATATACCCGTTTCTCTTCGATACACCCACGTGCAAATGGCCAACCAATCAAGAGTACTGATTGTGATAAATGTACGGATACGGAATCGCTGGGGGTCACCGGTGTTACTACAAGAGAGAAAATGAGAGAGAGAGAGAGAGAGAGAGAAAGAGAAGGTGATAAATTTAATAGGATATGTTGTACTTTTCTAAGCTCCTCCCCCACCTCCTCCACCCGCCCCCCGTACCGATAAAACGGAACGCGCAATGGCGATTTCTAGTTACACCACTAACTCACACAATGTACACACAATATACACGATTT